TTGTCAGAGGAAACAACACCGTTTACTTCAATGTTCGGAGAAGTAGCTTTCTTTTCTCCCGGCATAATTTTCTTCATTGTCCTCCAAAACGATCTGTGATCACCCTCGCTCTTCTCAATGAGCCGTTTATTGTAAGAAGCTTTCGCTGATCTTATTTCTTTTGTCACACGATTGCGAAAATGGCGGTAGTTACCCCAGTACCCCGAAGTGTTACTTTTATTTGCTTTTTTATGAAAGTAATCACGCTGACGCATAGTCTCCTTTATGTTTTTGTTTAGCCAAGGACAATTGTCGATGCCGCGTACACGACGTTGCACCAGCGGAGCATGGCAATCAGCAATCGTGACAAATTTCCGCTTGAACTCACGCCAAAGTTCATCAACACTGCGGGCAGGCCCATCGGGACCAGGGACAAAGTTCCAGTTAACACCTTTCAGGTCCTTACGAAAAGCAACTTCATCGAAATGCGCATAATTTCTGAAGGTCTTGACTTGAGACGGTGCTCTTTTCCAGTTTTCTTCCCACGTCCCTGAACCAACTCATGATCACTTAAATGGGCAGAAATTACTCCAGACTCACACACATTTTGCGGGTATCATTATTATTAAGTGTAAGTGAAATGTGGTGCTACAAATGATTTTAAAAAAGTGATTTTTATAATATTTTTTATGTGACGGCGCATAAATCTGTCATAGGCATTTTCGAGCACAGACATGCGCAGTTAGGTAAACAATGTCCCACATGCAAGACATGCTAGTGCTAGTTGGTGTAAGACACTTGTGCTCAGTCTAATCTCTTACAAGGGGTATCTAGTCTACTATATTTGCATTGTGCACTGCATTAGGGAAGTATAGAAGGCARAGGAACCCMAATTTTCCTMATKAATAACATGAGGGAAATTTAGAAGACAAAGGATTATTTTGTCTTTTACTAAATTTCCCTCTATTTAATTTATGCAAKGGAAATTTAGTATTGTCTTTTACTAAATTTCCCTTGCATAAATTAAATAGAGGGAAAGTTAGCAAAAGATTCCTTTGTCTCCTAAATTTCCCTCATGTTATTCATGAGGGAAATTCCAGTTTGTAAACCCCTCTGAAGACAATGGAATCCGAGGTGATCATGGTACTTTCAGTGCATAGAGCCCGCCGCTTCAGAACATTTTGTTTCTGAATAACAAAAACAAAAGAGCAGTTGAAATCTTGGGCATTTTGCTGTGATACTGTTGCCCTTGGAAACTGGATGTTCCTCAAAGCGACTATTTGTCTTTTGGAACATCTATGACAATTTCCGCGGACAACTATTGTAGCATATTTCACTCGATTCAACTGTTCCATTGTTTAAATAGGCATTTCACAATATTGTAACAAAACTAGAATAGAGGTAGCACTCTTCAATYGCCGAGTGGTCAAACAGTGCTCAATACACATTACTGTGCAGAGCAAAACATACAATAGGTGAATTATTACAAGGAAACACGCATGATTCTCTGTGACTCTGATCTTGTGCTTACGTACTCTTCAGAAGGAAATCATTTCATTGTAGTTCACCTATTGTGATTAAGAAATACTTACTTTCCAGAACCGCAAACTCCAGTGATCAGCACAATCATTGTACACTCCACTGTCAAGCATATTCCCTATAAATATTTAGTTTTGATTAACAAATGATTCCAATAGCAATCATGCGACTATAACCCAGGGACTATAAAGGCAGTGCATCATCTCTGTGAATAGGAAAGGGCGTTAATTAAGCTCCACGTGAGAATGGGCATCTATCTCCCTAGTTTCCATATTACACCTTTCGCTTCATAATATACATGTAATAGATACAATATGAGCGGGCGATCTGTATGAGGATTTAAAACAGCGAGCTGTTTTAAACCTCATACAGATTGCACGCGAATATTGTATATTACTTATGAAACATTGAGGTAAACTAGCTCAGGCTTTAAAGAAACTTTAAAAAAAAATCAATCTGACCGAGAAAATCAGAGTTAAAGTTTATGCAAATGAACAAGAAATCTGTATGCAATATACAACTCTCTTCATGGGCTATGGTTTCTRTTGTGTATTGCCTTATGAATATTAATGAGTTTTATAATGTAAGATACTTTAACCTTCCYATACAGGCGTTAGAGCGATCTGCCTCATTTTGGCCACTGCATGTCGTCTCTTGCTCTATGAAATCTATTCAGAATTAAGAATTCTAGAAATCTCGACTTCCTTTTATCTCACTTCTATATTGCTGTTTCCTACATCTGTATTTTTAAGGATGTCTGTTTTGATCGGTGGCAACTTCAGCTCTTTTATTGATGTTTAGCTATATATTATTTAACAAATTGCGCACAGTTTTGAGTTGTATGTCCTCTAATTGGCACATTCTTGATGTCATAAAATGTTCAAAACTCAAGTGGGTTCACTGCAAATAAAACTGTGTACAATTTTTTTGACCACATTTTTAGTCTAAAAATTAGCAAAAATTATTCTGACTTTTCTTTCAATTGAGCATGTGTGAGAGACGTGATGATGAGTGGAAAAATGCCGAATTGATGTGTTTTTTACGGTTGCAACAAAACACCAAATATCAGCGAGAAGGTATAAATTGTGTCTTATTGTCTGGGTTGATGTCACACTCGTTTCCATACTTCTTTCGAGGTTGTCTATCCAAATCAAACTTAAAACATTTGCCAAAAATCAGGAATTGAATGAAATTGAGCTATTTTTTCGCCAAAGCTCTTTGAAACTTCCCTAATTTTAATAAAAAATGTAATTTTTAAGAGGTTAGGTACACTTTAATGGTTTTACACCAATAGGGGTTTGAGATGCAGCTCTGTTTTCCTATAAATAAACAAATGTTGCATATCCTATATTCCTTTTAACTATATGGAGGTACCTTAAGCATTATTATTCATGACCCTTTATAAATGGTTTGATATCTTTTGGCCCGCCAGTCCCTTTTTGCATACATCAAAATGATGGTTATTTTGGCTAAATTTGGACAAGCAGATATTGGATTTTTTCTWGAGGTTCTGTCCTGCCTAAATAGTTGGAGTGACAGTTTTGCTCCCCCTGCTGAGGAGTAGACAAAGTGTCACAAAATAACAAGGTCAACAAGGATAAAGTAAGAAATCGATGTCATATAATTCCCGCTGAATTCAAATTTGGAAAGAGTTATCAGTCGAAAACGTTAGATACTTCAAAAGGAGTTAACTGGTCAAATTTGAAGGACTTAAGCTTACTTGATCTATTGAGCAAGTACACTCATTTTTTGTTCGCTATACATTTTTAACTCTGTAATTTCCGGGGCCATCAGCGATTGAGGACCAGTTAACTCCTTTTTGTAGTATCTAACGTTTGCAATTGATAATTCTTTCCGAATTTGAATTCAGCGAGAGTTATTTGACATCGATTTCCCACTATATCCTTGTTRTAGAGTGCTCAAGTGTGACGTCACAAAATACTTTTTTTCGAATWTTTCGTATTCGTTGACATATCCTTGAAGCGCATGGAAAAAAAGTAGTTATATACCAAATTTCAATGTCCTAGTGCCATTTATAGCGGAGATACAAGCGATTTTACGGTCGGGTGACCACATACTTGGTCTTGTTCGGGTCCAGTTCTGGACTAGGGTTGCCTGTATTCTTATTCATTCGCAATCTCGTTGGAAGACAAATTATCGAGAATTGTGCGCAGGAATAGCAGCACCTTTTAAAAATGCMAAATGCAATTCTGGCTTTTCTGAAAATGTTCAAATTTCTATTGTCCAAATGCAATGAAAAAGGTGGAATATTCAAATTTTTAACAAAAATGTGGACCATTGGACCTGTCGTTGGGGTGCCCACACCCCCCTTGCTCCGGGCCTGATTTCAGAGAGACCTAATCACTTACCTAGTTACAACTAAGGAAGGATAAATCCAAGCTTACAACTCTGCTTTTTATAAAAATTCGAGTCTTCACTCGTAGCCGGCATACAATTTTCGAACTACACCAGAGCACCAAAAGAGTAAAGTAGTAAACCAATGAAAAGTCATCTTCTATGGAAGTGGCGTCGACACAGCATGTCTGCGACTGCGCAGTCGGTGGAGTCTACGGTCTGCACTTTTATCGCGTCTGCTATTTGTGATCTTTGCGACACTCTTTCTGTACAATTTCCTTTTTACAATAAACACCATAGAGGAAACGATGTTGAGGATTGGAAGTAAAAGTAATCTGGACACAGAATATGCTTGCAAGATAAGCTTACTCGATGACACCGAGATGACGTGTGAGTTTCGGGTAAGTCTTCTGTACAACAAGAAACTCAATTCACAACCTAAACAAGCTTAATATCAATTGCACAAACTGGAAATTTTTGAAATGTTATAGGACTAACATTTCATGAGTAATTTTAACGAAAGCTTACTTAGTGATTTTGCTTATTAATTTTTTTTTCTTTGACTTCAACAGTAAGCTTAACTTTAAGTTTATGGGTAAACGCGTCTTGCGTGGACATGTCGCCTCTTGCTAACTGTAATAATTTATTACTTCCATTTAGCAATCGTATTTTCGGCCTTCAGTTCTAGTGTTCGATATCTTCGAATCAAATTATTGGAATTGAGAGGAATCTAGAAATTTTCGGAGTGTGCGGTCAGGCGACGCCAACTTGTTTCTAAGCTAGATGCATGGTTTTCTTTAAACTTAAATTCTTGCAGGTCTTTTTCTTTTTGAAAGAAGTTAAGCTTATTATTATCATTTTTTCCAAAATGCTTCGTGTGTAAGATATTTGTACGAACGAAGGTTTTCCAGATAGAAAAATGCWAGTATTTAGAAACTATATGTAATTTTTGTGCACCCTTTGAATATGCATGACTTTATTAGTGGCCGCTGGAAGATCAATAAATCCTTAAATCCTGCGGTATACTGAGCGTTTCTCTAAATTTTATCTTTAAACGCAAAAAACGGAATATGTCCATTTGAAACGTTCAGCGAAACTCACGTTTTGAAATACTGACTTCTTAATTGATTTCTTTTGTGATTTTAACATAAGTTTTAAAGCTTAATATGGCGTTTTGGCTATCTCTTCACGATTGTTATCGTATGGTTTTAGGGATAAAAATAGCTCAGCGATGTAACTAAAAGTAACTTTTTTTCTTTTCAGAGGGAGGCTAAAGGGCAAACTGTCTTCGATTCGGTTTGTAAATC